TAAAACTTTAACTATGTAATTTCTTTGGTGATTGGAAGGTATTGAAGAAGTCACCAGTGGTAATTGGTGTATGTTGTAGATTGGTCAAACTTGTACTCATTAGAAGAGTGCATTAGATTATGGGAAAATCAATGTTTATTAATACAAATGCCGCACATGAGCGGCACAATGACCACCTCCCTTTAAAGATTATTACTAGAATACTGCATCAGTATTGTGATCTTACTGATGTGTAAGTCTACTAAGAATGTGATCCAGTATTACCAGGGTGCAAACATTGCAGCATTCTCACTCTCAATATTTTTATTTTGGTATATGTAGACATAATGGGGTCATGTGACTAAAAGAAAGTGTTTGAATGAAGCATAAATGTAAAGCATATCACCATAGCTCATCTGTTATACAAGAATATTGTGGTAGCCAAGCCAAGCAATGCACACTCATAAGACAAAATGCAGAAAACCCACAAAAAGGTTTCAATTGGTAGTTTGGTCCCGGCTGATTAGAACATGCCAACTTAACTTCACACCAAAGAAACAGAACGATAAACCCTCCCATATGAACAGCTTCACTCTGTCATCTTCAAAGACAGCAGAGCTAAAAAAGTGAAGAAGCTTGTAGCAGATTTAACAATTATACAATTTTGCCATAAGTAAGATACATATTAAAAAGCAGGTATAGGTAGTAATTAAACCATACCCTGTACTCTGCATTGTAAGACGTAATCCAATGCACTTGGAGGTTGCCATCTATGTCTCAAAATTATATACCTCAGATCCAATACACTGTAAAATATAATAGACAAGAGTAAGCAAAACTGATTAATATATATATATAATAATATGTGTGACATGATGTATAATTCAGTTGTAAAGTTTGATTGCAATCCGTCAATGCATATGTCAGATATGTGGGTCTAGAACAGTATTTGTTAATTCGAATTGTCAAAAAAAACATATATACATGTATATATTATCTATTTGACCATGTATTAACTAACTAGTATGTACGTTTGGAAATGAAACAGTCCATGTATTTCTAAGAAAATTTGAAGGATGAATGAATAAAAGGACAGACATAGCAAACGCTGGGAGAGCTACATGTAGTACCTGTACATGTATATATACCTGTAGGCTATAATGTCACTTTGGAATCTCAGTACTATAGTTGTAAATATCAATATTTATTAAAATGAATGAAAAAAATGGCATCAGTTGTGAAAAGTTTAAACTACAGTAATTGTGCTGCTTACCTGATAATTCCAAGTTGTCCAACAGAATACGCTGTCTTTGACATCTGTATCACTTTTTCCAAAGATGTAGCAGTTACATCATACGGGGACGATAACCATTGACAATGTTCTAGCTCCAACTCACTGTTATTACCAATTGAGGCATGCTTACTATGACCTTTAGTAGTATCCTGAAATCACCACAGAATAGGTAATATAAAAGTACTTCAAAAGCCACACACATTATCTAAGTTACCTTCTATTCTTACCAAAGTCTACAAATCAGTACATCATACTCTTCCTAACAGAATGAATTAATCTGTTTATTTGATGTGGTTAATTACCTAATTATATTATAATATTTTCTTATTAATTCATAATGTCATGGCTAAAACAATAAACCAATAACAGATACATTTGTCGTCCAGATTTGATCAAAACTGCTGCATAAAGAAAAATCACTCTTGCATTTAAAACACGGTGTGAAATGAATTTAACCTTGCCATACACTTTAGTTCTAATCATCATCAGTGCATTATTGATGGATCTCTCTTCAAATTTGGCGTTTTTGTCAGAAAACCTAGCTTTGCCATTGAAGTACATCTATGATGATATGAACAACCTGTACTTTGGACCATAAATTGTGTATTAACTAGTACTCTTAGGGTATTTAAATGTCATTCACAATCCCCCATCCTCTAATACTACTTCACTAGTGACTACTTTCTGCTCAAGATGTGTTAGCTATACTTTTACATTTACTCCTTCAAACAGTTTTCACACTTGAATCCATTTAACTTGAGTACACCTCTATTACAAGACAATTGACTTATGTAAATGAGTATCTTGTATATATATATATATGTATAAAACTTACTGAAATGCTACAACGATGTACGTTGACATAGTTCAACATTGCATGTATAAACATCAAATTTAACAGGTTGGTATAAAAACATATCTTGTCATCTTTTGTGATTAGCTTTGTAAGATCAACTTCAGTAAACTGCTGTGTCTTGAACACAATGTCTTTATACTCATCTGTAGTCGAGGCATTTTGTGCAGCTCTCATGTCAAACATGTCATTATTCTTGGCATACTGGGCATGTGCTAAACATATGAAACATAAAATGTATTATTCATATTTTCTTGAATTCCACAAAGTGTGCAAAGACTAATACAGTAACATGTACAATGCAATTATTTTGTTCATCAATTGCCACACTTTCAAAAGCCAGGTACATGAAGAAAACCCCCTAAAGAAAAACAGACAGACTGGAGATGTCCAAGTTTGCATCATGAAATCATTATAGCTTTATTGGGGTCAAATGAGTAATAAATGTGTGACATATGTTATGAATAATTGCAAATTATGAAAATGTGTTGATCGCCATACATCAGTTACTCATATCAAGAGCATTTTATTTCCCACAATTCATGCTAACTCAGCCCATCAAATATTTCCCACAATTCATGCTAATTCAGGCTATCAAATATTTCCCACAATTCATGCTAATTCAGCTCATCAAATATTTCCCATAATGCATGCTAATTCAGCCCATCAAATTTTTCTCATAATGCATGCAAATTTGGCCCATCAAATATTTCCCACAATTCATGCTAATTCAGCCCATCAAATATTTCCCACAATTCACGCTAATTCAGCCCATCAAATATTTCCTACTATTCATGCTAATTCAGCCTATCAAATCATTCCCACAATTCACGCTAATTCAGCCCATCAAATATTTCCCACAATTCATGCTAATTCAGCCCATCAAATATTTCCCACAATCCATGCTAATTCAGCCCATCAAATATTTCCCACAATTCACGCTAATTTAGTCCATCAAATATTTCCCAAAATCCATGCTAATTCAGCCCATCAAATATTTCCCACAATTCACGCTAATTCAGCCCATCAAATATTTCCCACAATCCATGCTGATTCAGCCCATCAAATATTCTCCACAATCAATGCTAATTCAGCCCATTAAATATACCCCACAAACAACGTTAATTCAGCCCAAGGAATATATCCCACAATTCATGCTAATTCAGCCCATCAAATATACCCCACAATTCATACTAATTCAGCCCATCAAATATTTCCCACAATCCATGCTAACTCAGCCCATCAAATATTTCCCACAATTCATGCTAATTCAGCCCATCAAATATTTCCCACAATTCATGCTAATTCAGCCCATCAAATATTTCCCATAATTCACCCTAATTCAGCCCATCAAATATTTCCCACACTTCACGCTAATTCAGCCCATCAAATATTTCCCATAATTCACCCTAATTCAGCCCATCAAATATTTCTCACAATCCATGCTAATTCAGCCCATTACATATTTCTCACAATCCATGCTAATTCAGCCCATCAAATATTTCTCATAATCCATGCTAATTCAGCCCATTAAATATTTCCCACAATTCATGCTAATTCAGCCCATCAAATACATTGTATTCTCCACAATTCATGCTAATTCAGCCTATCAAATATTTCCCACAATTCACCCTAATTCAACCCATCAAATATTTCCCACAATTCATGCTAATTCAGCCCATCGAAATTTCACATCCCAAATCCCACACTGGATTCATAATGCAACAGTTTGTTTTTACCTTTCATGAGAGAGAGCATCCTTGTCAGCAAATCAGCAGCAATGTCCAGTGGATGCTTATTTGTATCAGTAAACTGAGAACCCGCCTTGTTAACATTCAATACGATTCTACCAGTATAATCAATGCAGGGCTGTGGTACACTGAGTGGTAAGGACAGTGGCTTTATATCGATATTTGGACAACAACTTTGGACTATTATATGTACTAAGTTTAATTTCAATTGACCAGCAACTCTTTCCAGTCTGAAACAAAAATTGTAAATATTGTAAATGTATGATTTCATATTTTAAGACATGCAAAGTAATGATAACATCATGTCGCTTTTTTAATAGTCAATGTTCTCACTACAGGTTTTAATGCATCATCTCTAAAAAATGAAAAGGATGTGATAGACAATAAATGCAGCACATTTAATATGATTATGGTTAGTTTGGTGGTGAATACTAAGAAAATAATGGCTAAAATGCTGTTAGTATTTTTTGTTTCATGATCGGACGAAGAATGGCATTCAATTTTATCCAATATTATAATAGGAAATTGCATTTTAAATTTTTTTTATTAAAAATGTTACTAGTTTTAATTTCTACTAGTCCGATTGTAAAATTACCGATCTTGGGTATACACACTAGCAATAAATAAGTTCAAACACTGGAATTACACAATATACCCCTGGTAGGTAATATATTTGTGGATTGCTCTAGTGCAGTTTAATATTCATAATTAAAAACACATGGTTTTCTCTGGTAAATATACAAACCTGGATGGAGGAATATGCTGTTCAAACATCAGTTTGCCAAGAGTGGATGTTGGTCCTTCTTCAAGGACTGTAAATGGATTTGGAGACTTCATACTTGATGAACCTAAAAAACAAACAACATTGAATGCTGGATTTAAGAAACTGACATTATACATGTACATGTACATGTACTTGGTATTAATCTATAAAATGGTGAAAACAAGCAGCCTGTCGGCTGAGATAGCTCCGCTGTTAGCAATGCACATGGCAATTAAAGAACAGAAGATATCATTAGAAAATGAACAAATCTGAGAGAGGTCCACATGTAGTACCTATATGTATAATATATCAAAGCAATTGGACTTGCGGTTTTCAACAAGAAGTCGAAAATATCACTTTTTACCAAAAATTACAAAAATATTCATCAAAATTAGAGAATTAAAGATATCATTATGAAATGAACAAATCTGAGAGAGGTCCACATGTAGTACCTATATATGTAATATCAAAGCAATTGGACTTGCGGTTTTCAACAAGAAGTCGAAAATATCACTTTTTACCAAAAATTACAAAAATATTCACCGAAATTAGAGAATTAAGATATCATTACAAAATGAACAAATCTGAGAGAGGTCTACCCAAGGTACATATACACCAAGTATCAAAGCATTCAGGCTTGTAGTTTTCAAGAAGAAGTCGAAAAAGTAAAACATTGACACGGACGACGACGACGACGACGGACGACGACGGACAATCACTCATATGATAAGCTCCGCTCGACAAAGTCGACAGCGGAGCTAAAAAACTAAACTTACCAGACATGAGGTTATTACCATCCAATAATAAAGAAGCAAATATATCCAGGTGTTGATATAAACTTCTCAAGTATTCAGCTCTACTAGCACCATCATTGGTTTGACATTTCATCGCCATGATATGTTCGAAAGTTTGGTTGTTATCGTAAGTCTGTAAAAGTTGTTTCATGGTTTGCCTGACAAGTGAACGATTTACTGACTGAGCTGCTACTGCTATGGCACTTTTTTGGGATTTGTCCTTTTCAGGTGAATCTTCAGCTTTCCTGGGGTTCACGTCACTGTCTTCCGAGGCTCTGTATTCAGTAAGGACACTTTCCAGTTTACTAATCACTCTTTCCTGCTCTACAACACTGTTAACATGTGCTTTTATGCTAACAGACTCTATTGGAAGCACTCCAGTTATCAATACATCTTTGGCACTTCTTTCACTATACTTCTGAAAGAGGACTGGCTTAAGTAGTATGTTAGTATCACCTTTGGATAGATTCACCAGGTACCATATTTGTTTCATAAAGCTCAATGGACCCCTTAGTGAAGTTAGAACTTGCTCATTAGACTGACCAGCAGCTGATCTTGGCATTGGTGGCTGATGTAGATTACCAGCTTCAACTGCCTGGAGCTTATTATTTGCCATCTGAAGTAGATCTCTGCTGACATCCCAAGCATTGCTGCTTGTACAAGCCAAGTCCAGAATAACCAAAGCAGGCACATGTTCATTACTGGCAAATCTTCTAAGAATTGCTAGAATGCCTGCAGAATCTGTTTCTTGATCAATGAAGACCGGCAATTCAGTTGTGCTTAACATCTCATCTACCATACCAGATACTGACAGTGATGACATCCCGGCTGCAGCAACACTTGCAATACTACTGATAGGGGAACTTTTATGTGTCATTCTATTCACTGGCTTTTCATATTGCTTCTTTGGTTCAAGACTCTGTAAATTACGTACTGTTAATTCAAGGCTCTCTGCAAAGGACACCTCCTTGGCTTCTGCCTTACCTTCCATCTTGAATAATTTTACAACCTGAGAAATTATAAAAATAATTTAGAGAGAGCAAATTACAAGAAACAAGGTGCATTTGTATACATTAATGCTGTGTCAAAATGGTTTACTCAAAGCCACACACTCC